TTTTTTGGATCACACGGGTAACTATAACATTGTAAACTAAAACATGAACAAAGTCTTTCAGTGAAGCAACAGAAATTGGCCTTTAAATACTGTATGTATTGTACCATAATAAAATGGCTCCAAGGTACTAATCTAAGAGTGTTAGAAAATGGATTTCTTTTTTAATAAAGTAAGGAATGCGATCCGTTGCCAACTATTCTTACATCTCTAGTCCTTTTTGTTCAAAGTAAGGCATGAATATCCTTGTGCAGCGTTAAAATCTAAAACCGTCCAGTGACTGGTGAAAAATGTCCATTGGAAAACAAGGCACATATTGTGTAAAGATACAATTCCTATAAAATGATCACAGTGAGAGAAAGGTATATGGAGGAATGACAACGTCTGCATTACATCATGGAGGTGTCACAGATCAAAGGCTCCACAGAGGTGAAAGGAATAGTCACTGGTCATGGCCTCCATGTTGTGTTGTTCATATAGTGGACATTTCCACTCTCTAGTGTTTTTCTCCGAATGGTTTGTTCCCATCACTGTACAATAGCACCAATCAATTCCCGGGAATGACCTCAGACAACTGAGCAAGAGTTGCGACACTTCCCGCAGCGTTTTTTCTTCTTCTTTGGGTGGAAGACTGTTAGGATTGCTTCGTCAAACACATTCTTGAGCCCCTTCTGAGTCAAGGCTGAGCACTCCAAGTAGCACTGCGCTCCAATCTAGGCAGAAAACAAAAAGGACGTTATGATGGATTGGGCCTTATCTGTAAATAGATCTTAATGCCCTATTTGTTATTATTAAACAGGATTTACAATATAAGGAAGACATTACAATTCAAGACAAGATGGTGCCCTGCCCCTGAGGGCTTACAATCTAAAAGGGAGGGGCAAGTGATAAATGAGGCGGTAGCTGTGTGGGGATGAATTGTTTGTGAAAGTGATAGTACAGTGGTTAGGTTGAGGTGGGATAGGCTTCCCTGAAGAGATGAGTCTTAAGGGATCGCCTAAAGGCAGTCTGAGTAGGAGATGGTTGCACAGGTTGGGGTAAAGAGTTCCAGCGGATGGGGGGAGATGGTTGGTTAGGTGAATAAGTCTAGCAGCTGCATTCATGATGGACTGAAGGGGGGATAGCCCTTTTGTTTTTTTAAAACCACTCTATGGCCCAGCACTGGTTCTCTTCCCTGTCGAGCATAATTTACACACATCCTGACAGCCCAGAGTGTCATGGCCTCCTTGAGGTACATCATCAATATTACAGTGTCCTGCAAAGAACAGCGCTAATGTCATTGTCAGCAGTGTTCTCTGCATCATTGAGAATTGCCCATTGCTAGACTAGAAGGAAGAGAACCCCATGTAGTACGTGATTGGCCAGAATACATCTGAAAAAAAGATAAGTACACTCAATGGCGTCACAAGGGGGGTGCGGCTCGCACCCGGGTGCCACCATTGGAGGGGTTACACCAAAATGAGTCATTTTGGTGTCACCCCCTATGAAAAGTCGGTCACTCAGTCACAGACAGAGTCCGACAGTGTCAGAAGAGAGGAGGGGACCCAGTGGCACACCTCATCCTGCTGGGTGAACGCCCCCTCCTCTCTCTGCCAGTGTCCACCACCAAGATGGCTGCCGGCAGGCGTCAATAAGACTGCACACGCGCGGCAACATCATGCGCAATGATATCACAGCGGGGTGTCACCCCGGTCTCCGCCCCCGGGTGAGACCCAGCCTCGGGCCCCTCCCAAGTACACTACAAATGATTCATGATAGAAAGGCTGGGCTTTGGCTTTATACAGACAACAACCAGGTTAAAACTTTCAGACTCCAAATGAAAGATGAAAAAGCTGGATATTTTTAGTCCCAGAAATTATATGCAAAAGACCTCACCACACCCTTAGTTCTTACATCACTGCTTCTTCGTGACCTTTATGGAAGAAGACCATGGAGTGAATGCCCAGTTTTCTTCCCTTGAACTTGTAGCTGTTAAGGTTTTAATAGCAGATAAAGGGAAACATATATCAATATCTGAAACCTACCATCTTTGCAAGTTTCATTCCTTGTTCGTAGGTAATTGGTTTTTCTTTCATATGGAGAAGTCGAGCCAGTGTTTTTGGGTCATCTCGTAGATCAATCTACAACAAAAAAAGGGATGTACAAACTGATAAACCTTAGTGCTTCGTATCTCTAGAAACACTACTTGTAGTGATTGTTGCTTTACACTGATCTGCAAAAACCCATCAAATTGTAGCATGATAAAACTCACCCGGCCTTGCTTACATCGCATTCATTTATGAAAGTAAACTGTATTATTTGTCTGAAAGTAAGAACAGCTGTAGATAAATATTATATTTGTTTTCATATCGGGCTTCGATATCTACTGTATGGAAAAACAGACCTGTGATCTTATACGCAATGGAGGTGTTATATGTATGGATGTTGCCCCTTGTAAGTGTTTTGCCAATCTTTCTACTCAAGCTGGGGCATGGTAGTAGTATGGCTGGATGCCGACCCACCTACAAGCCACGCATGATCATTTTTGAAATTGATCGAACATTATGTTTAGGAATAAATGGACTCAATGGTTACAATAGTTTTCTGAGGGAGTGAGCTACCCTCCCTTGCACGGGTCATGGGACATGCACCATTAATGCTACAGCATACAAAGACACTTTAGAGAACTCCATCCACCTGGAAAGAGTTTGGGCCAGCATGACTGCCCCTCTGCACAAAGTCAGCTCCATAAAGACATGGTGTGATGAGTTTGCTGTGGAGGAACGCAAGTAAAACACTTTTGGGATGAATTGTAACACAAATTGTGAGACAGGACTCTGTATTCAACAGACCCGACCTTCCAAATGCTCTTGACCAAATGGGTATACATTCCTAGAGACACACTCATGTTAAAAAACATTACCAAGAAAGTAGAGGCTTTTCTAGATGCAAGGGGGAGGGGTAACTCCATATTAATGGCCATGGCTTTGGGATATGATATCCAAACAAGCTCATACAGTGCATCAGAAGATAAGCCTAGGACTGTTGGCGTTATTCAATTGTGTTGCCAGTAACTTATCTGGAGTTGTCTTACTACAGTTTATGGATTACATACATAATGTAGATTTTTTATACATCAGTGTCACTTTTTAGCCCAACGCCAGCCCTGCACAGTTTAATAGCAGTACATTTACCTGTGTTCCTATTAGCACATAAGGTACATGTGGCATGTAGGTTCTGACTTCTGACACCCATTCCTCCTGGACATTGTGGTAAGAAGCTGGATTGACGACTGAGAAGCAAATCAGAAACACATCTGTATTTGGGTATGAGAGGGGCCGAAGCTGGTCATAGTCTTCCTGTAGAAAAGAAAATGTAATGTCATATCTCATCGTAGTGTGAACCGTCTTGTACCTTTTTCTTCATTGTGCATCCATTCTGTACAAATATTGCATTGAAGTATCAGAGATTTCCTAATTTGACCAATCAGATTCAAATCTACCCCAAAACATATCACACGGAAGCTTCGGATTGGTTGCTAAAGGGCAGAACATTTCCTATAATCCCTTTTGAACAAGGTGAGAACTTTCTCCACTTGCTACCTCATGTTACTTTAGACAACAGGGGACTCGGCCCAGAAAGACATAACCTAGAGTCCGGTGATTTTCCCCTTTTCCACAAAACTAGCTTGGTTGGGAAGGTTAATTGAAAGTGCTGCCTCAAGTCAAATCAGAAGAAGCATACTTCTATATGGCAACACAGACAGTTAGTTATTATTTCAGACATTCAGTTAAATCTGAACTCCAGGCAAATATATGGTAGACATATCCCCCCGCCCACGGTTCGATCGCCCGTTCCTGGACCGCAGGCACATTAGTGCCTGCATTCCGGTCCAGTGTGACCTGCAAAAATAGTGCTTGCAGCATTTTATCGGATCGCACTGGACTGGAACGCAGGCACTAAAGTGCCTGGGTTCTGGGTGCAAGCGATCACACTGTTGGCGAGGGGCCTGGCTGCAGTGCCATTGACTTCAATGCACCGCCACTCCCCTGAACGTAGGTGTTTTTTCGTTGGTAGATCTCATTGAGCTTGTCCTTTTGAAAAGTAGATCTCCAGACGAAAAATTGTGGGCGCCCCTGTCCTAGATTGTTCACTTCTCCTGCCTTCTCCAAACTCTTCACCCTTCTGTGAATGACCCTGTATATTTTTTCTGTGTGTCACTGTATTGCTGATCATTTCTGTATGGGTTTAAAGACGAAGTGCAGGTATCCCCGCTGCATACAGATAGGGGAGAGCAGCGGGGATCCAGAGAAGACAGGACATCACGATCTACCAGTGACCGATACGCAATCACTGGTAGATCGCGATCGACCTAATGGGCACCCCTAATCTAGGATAACATAGCTGATTTGGAAAAATTCCCAGTGCAGCTCCCTTTCCAGTTCAGCTATGTTGTCCTAGAGTGTTCACTGCTCCTGCCTTCTCCAAACTCCTCACCCTTTTGTGAATAACCCTGATAGTTTGTCTTCCTTTTTAACATCTATGCCTGACGTTATTGTACAATAGCTAAGACTTTACAAAAGTATTTGAATAAAGAACTTAATTTCATTATCGAACTTGCAGGGAAAAAAATGAACCTGATAATCTCATTTTAGTTTTTTGAGGCACTAAAATCAACCAACTGTTCGTCTGACCTCCATGCTGTCATTCTGATATCACAGCAGCAGGTGGCAGCACACAACCAGGTAAGGAGAACCATCACAATGATAAATGCTGCATCATTAGATGCCCACCAGAGTCCATTTCATCTTGCTATCCATTTACAACATTGGTTGTAGCAGTGTAAAATGTTTAATGATAAATATCAAATATTTATTCAGGTTTGAGCAGCCAAGTGAATACTTTGTGCTCCATAAATTTGTTGTAGCGACGCGTTCGTTCATCACTTATTTAAAAAGACAACTGTGCAAAATGCCATCTTATCTGGTTCATATTTTTCTAAAGCAATGTTTAAAATGGATGAAAGTTTTTCTAAAACATAAGGCTTTGCAGTCAAGGTACACTCGCCTTCTATGTTATTTCTATAAAAGCAACATTATCCTTTGCTGGTCTCATAAGAAGCAATCCCACTGAAGGATACTTCCAATATTCTGGGGAAACCTCCTCTGGCCTACAATGCATGTGCTGAATGAATGTCAATAAACCATTCTTCCTCCTGTGCATGTTACTGAATGGACAGGGAGGGGAGGGAGAATCTGCAGGAGACAGAGAATTGCATCCACGACCCATTGATAACAGTCGCAATGCTGTTGTGGTTCAACTGCAAAAAAATGATAAATGCACACTTTTTTTTTCTTGTTCGAAGAAGTGTGAATGTATTCTTTTTTAAGGGTGGACTTTTAAAAATAAACCATTAACACTTTTATTTCTGCAAGCATTCTTACTTTACAGCATTTTTTTAACACCTGCCTAAAACGTTTGCACAGTACAGTATGTGTGTGAAGCTAGTGGGAAGTGGTTGCTGCACTGCTCATTTATGCCTTGAGGACAAGAAAAAGCCGTTTGGCTTATCTGATCCCTGCTCCCACCAGGCTGCTAGACTGGTCCCCACAGCCTCTCCTTCCCTGTGCTCCTGCAGTGTAAAGCTGGCCATACACCTATAGATTAGCTGCAGGTTTTCTATGGTCAGATGGAAAAAGTGCAACAGACTCCTCCATCTGCGCTAAACTATGTGGATGGAGGGATCTCCCACTGGGCCAAGCTTCAGTATCTTACTAGTCGGCCCCGCTGGCACTCAAAACAGCTTAAAGTGCAGCTGACATCTTCAAGTTCAATGCATGCCCTGCATTGTAGGTGGGCCGTTAACCCTCGCAGTGCCCTCGAGTAAAAACATAACTCGTCTGGAGTTGTGCTTTAAGCACATTGCACAATATACCGAAAAATGGGCTCAGTAACTGACTATACTTTCCAGTTGCTGACTCTGTTAAAATCAATTCCTGAGAGCTGTTTGGATTTTCCCATTCTGTAAAGTGACTACATTAAAATGTGTAGGCAGCGATACTTATTTCATACAGCTGGATCATTGGCGCCATGGTGTAAGTATTATTAGTGTCAGGAAGGAGGTTCATGCTATTTAATACTGTCTGAACAAGTTAATAACCTTGAAAACTTGCATTGGTGGGACACTGTAAAAATGCAGCGTGAGCGGGACATTTTGTCTCTGTGTTTGCACTCCTCAACCTCTCTTACCTCCATTCTTATTACCGGACTTTTCAATTAGCTCTTATGTGTGCAGGTTTATATGACCCTCCAAGGGGTCATGCATACAATTACTCCATTGCCTCTTCCCCCTAGAATTCTTATAACACCAATACATATAAAAATTGGGTTTATATGAGGCATATATGCAACTTTATATTATTGTTGAAAGATGCACAAACTGTTGGCGCTATATAAATCCTGTATAATAATAATATAATTTGTTTTACAATTTTTTAAAAACCCCAACATTTGATTACACACACATATTCCCTAAAATCCATATATTGTTAAATATTCCCTTAGATGTGACGTAGATATACAAAGGCTAATGTGCCGAGACCAAGGGCTGTAGTTTTCTTGAAGCAACCGAATAAGGGGAATATTTAAACACATATATGGATTTTAGGGAATAATATATATATATAATGTATTTATTATGAAATGTTTGGATTTTAAATAGTGTAAAATAAGTTATATCTTTTAACAAATCATATAAAGTTACATATATGCCTCATATAAACCCAATTCTTTTTATGTATTGGTTTTATAGTTCATTCATTTCTAGATTTTGCTTTCCCAATGCTGGCCACACACATCAGTTTTGTATTGTACATTACGTTGTGTTTGCGCGTGTAGCCTTTAGATGGAATGTCCGTGTACCCATCACACTCCTGACTGTGTAGTTCGTTTTTCAATGGGTGCCACAGTGATCCAATAGATGGTGCCGTATCGAACAGAAAAATTTATAGGACACCGTCGCTCCCGAATCGCTGAAAAACTCGTCTCTTTGTCGCATGCGCATGATTTTAAATAGTAGTGATGTTTTGGGGTCACGCAGGATCCCCTTCATCAGGCATAACCTTTACCTGCACTATTTTATCCAACTCAGTGCACCACAATGTTTGACCATTTTTCATGTTATACACTGAATATGGGTGTAGCATGAGTCATGGTCTAAAAGGTAAAGTGAGCCTTTAAAGTGTATGTAAAACCCTAACACAGAACCTCTTTTCGTCGGCTAAACATACTATTGAAAGTGTTTTATTTGAAAGTATATATATTTATTAGAGATTTCCCGATAGTAGTATTGGGGCCGATACAGGGCATTTTCACAAGTACTTGTACTCCTGAAAGTGCCCCGATACTAAAAGGTCGATTGCTGGAGACCTCGCTGCACTATCTTTGAAAGCACTGGTCTGGCCCCACATGTCCTCCTCCCCAGCACCCACAGAGACCGGTACAACACTGGACAGCCACACACTTGTCCCTACAGCCCTGGAGAGACCCACATGCAGCCCTGGTCAGATCTGCACAAAGCCCTGTATAATTGCTGTATAATCATGGATTGATGGCATCTGTATTCCTCTTTAACTGGTTGTCAGTCAATAATTATACAGCAGCAGAGAATGGCAACTGGCTATAGAGGAGTACAGATCTCAGCAATCCATGATTGCTGGATGCCATTCTCCATTGCTGAATAATCATGGATTGCTGAGATTTGTAGTCCTCTCAGTTGCCATTCACCATTGATGTATAATAATAAATTGATGGGATCTGTAGTCCTCTATTGCTGAATATTCATGGACAGAGTTACAGTTCTTCATAATTATAAAGAAACTGCCCTAAAATCATTAGTCTGTATAGTTTTAGAAAAAAAATGTCACATGTCCCGGTAATTGGTATCGGCGAGTACCTGAGGGACAGTACTT